AGCAGCAGCAGCAGCAGCAAGAGCAGCAGCAGCAAGACTGTGAGTCTAAGTATGTGTGTATGTGTGCTTGATGGATAGCTAGAAACGAGGGTTTAGCGTGTGTTGCGTAGCTGCTGTATATCTAGGGTTTAGGGTTTAGGGTTTAGGGTTTAGGGTTTACCTATCCACTTTGCTTTTGCTGGGGTTTGGTTAGCGAGGTTTACGGCGTGTATGTGAGCGAACGAGGCGCTGTGGCCCAGCAGCTCAATGTATATACACCGAATCACAAACTCCTGCATCTTCCGCTGCATGCAAACCCTAAACCCTAAACCCTAAACCCTAAACCCTAAACCCTGTGTTTGTATGGATCTGAGAAAAAAATTCTGCGTCTTTTGGTGTATGCAAACCCTAAACCCTAAACCCTAAACCCTCGCTTCACACAGCAGCTCAATGTATATACACCGAGTCACAAACTCCTGCATCTTCCGCTGCATGCAAACCCTAAACCCTAAACCCTAAACCCTAAACCCTAGACCCTGTGTTTGTATGGATTTGAGGAACAAATTCTGCGTCTTTTGGTGTATGCAAACCCTAAACCCTAAACCCTAAACCCTAAAACATGCACCAGAGAGCACGCACAGCAAGTGCAACAGAAAGAAGGGTTTAGGGTTTAGCTAGGGTTTAGGGTTTAGCTAGGGTTTAGGGTTTAGGGTTTAGGGTTTAGGGTGCTTACAGTAGAAACCCTCGGTTGGTTCATTCGCTGCTTAAGCAAAACAATTTCATTTTGTATGATTCTATCCTCCTCCTGTACACAAACCCTAAACCCTAAACCCTAAACCCTAAACCCTAAACCCTAAACCCTGAGCCCTAAACCCTTAGCTAGGCGCTGGTTTAAGCGGTGAAAGTACCATCAAACCCTAAACCCTAAACCCTAAACCCTAAACCCTCGCACTGAGAATAAAACCCCCAGTAAAACCCTAATCCCCCCTCAACAAAACCCTAAACCCTAAACCCTAAACCCTAAACCCTAAACCCTACCTGCTTGGATCTCGCCTCGCCTATAAATTTAATCAAATCGAAGAACTCGCGGCTCACGTGGGGGCCGGCGCTGTTCATCTTCGCTAGGGTTTAGGGTTTAGGGTTTAGGGTTTAGGGTTTGGGGTTTAGGGTTTGGGGTTTGGATGGAGAGAAGGGCCTGAAGCAAAACCCTAAACCCTCGGGTCGTCCTGAATGTTGTTGCTGCTGCTGCTGCTGCTTTAGAAGCAGCAGCAGC